CCCTGCCCCGCTTGGTGCCCGTCCGAAGGCGCCGGGCTCCAAGTCGAGAATGGGCCCCGAAAGGCTGTCTCTCTGCCTCGCCTTTCTTCTGAAAGCTCAAGCCGAGCGTCACGGGTGGGTCTCTTCCAACCGTATTGAACCCGCGAGCTTGGTGGCTGTGAGAAAGCGCCACTGGCCAAAGGCCACCAGGTGCGCTCCGTGGCCAAGGAGGAGGAGGGGAAGGAACCACCAGGAGAGGCTGCCCAGAACAAACGCTAAAAATATTCCCCAGGCCTTGCTCTTCCCCAAACGGCCACACATTTTTCATCTCCCCGGGTCCCATCTCCCAGGAGGCCCCCGAGCATGATGGGGAAGAGCAAAGAAAGAACAGTTCCCACTTTTGAAACCCAATAAATACATAAATAGATAAACGCGACCTCTTGCCACGCGGCCTGTCTTGAACCCTCTCTGGCCACCCTGCCCCGAGCAGAGTTCCTCCTTCGGCTGCCGTTCTCTGCACTGTTCCTTGGGAGGGGGCCCATTTCTTTCAGGACGCCGTGGGGTCCCTGCCCCCGTGGAGCTGCGCCCTCCTTGACGTCACAGTGGCCCCTTTCTCCAGCCCCACCCCGCGGCTCTCACCCTTCCCTCTGCCCACAGGCCTTGTGATTGCCAAGCCGGAGCTCATTTCCTGGCTCGAAAAAGGGGAAGAGTTGTATGAGGACTTCCAGGAGAGGGGTGCCCCGGCCCCCTTCATTGGTGAGTAGCCGCCTTTGTGGAGCAGTAGGGCGACGGCATCCCAAAAGCTTCAGAGGGTTGGGTGGGTTATGTAGGTAGCAGCCGGAAGGGACAACTGTCCTGGGAACTGATGGATCCCAGGTGGTGCCTCTAATCGGTGCCCCTGGCAGTTGGCGCCCAGGCAGAATCCCCTTGTTTCGGCGGGCTTCCCTTTGTCTCCCTACAGGGCACGATTGCCTTCCCTCTGCCCTGTAGGGACCCACTGCCCTCTCTCCTTTTCAGGAGCGTCTCTTCCCCGAAGGCTTAGAGCCTGTTTCCTCACAGGGGCCTGAAGCTGTTTTTCTGAATTCCAGCAGTGCAGAATATACTCTCCGTCCATGGCATCTCATTGATGCTCTCATCCTCTACCGCCTGCTTGGGTTTCTTATAAAAGGTTGCTTCCACTATCTGTTTTTGCTGCAGAACTTACTTTCTTTGAACTGATTAATCTGTGTCTCATGGCTCCAGTCCTTTGACTTCTTCAAGGACTTCTGTGAGCTTCTGTTTGTTGCAAATATATCCCAGGCAGAAGATAGACAGGTCAGACAAGCTTCTGCCAGTTCTCCCTATAGGTTCTTTCACTAAGCTTGCGCCCTGGAAATTGGCTGCCTTATATTCCTTACTGAGCTTACTGCTTACTCAGTCACTCATAAATAACAATCAGTAGCTCTCAGGACACAAGCTGACAGCCGTTCACAACTCTGCACATAAATTCTCAGAACGCACAGCTTTTCTGGTTGTTCTGCCTCTTGTTGGTCATTGCATCAGTTGCGGGTCCCCTCCCCCAGCAAATGGGAAGACTTCACCATTTTTAATGGTGTTTCTGTTGGAAATAACTTGCTTCATGTCCTGGTTCTTTTTTCTAGCAGCTCAGAAGAGAGTTACCCTTCCCGGGAGATCAGGTGTACATCAAGAGAGCTCCCCTGAAACATTACAGAAAAACGAGAATCACAAGCAAGGAGGAACCACTCAGTCACCCAGAAACGATCCAGAGCCAGGGGAGGCTCGTGTAACGAAGAAAAAAGGCTACAGATGCTACGATTGCGGGAAGCTCATTGGCAGCAGGACGAACCTCTCTACTCACAAGAAGATCCATGCAGGTTTGAGGCCCTACAAGTGCCATGAATGTGGGAAAACATTCATTCGGAGCACTCACTTAACCGTCCACGGACGAGTCCACACTGGGGAGAAGCCCTACCAGTGTAAAGACTGTGGGAAGCGGTTTAGTCAGAAGGCCAACCTGTACACCCACTTGATCACCCACTCAGGAGACAGGCCCTTCCAGTGTGCCGAGTGCGGGAAGCGGTTCAGCCAGAAAATATACCTCACCCTGCACGAGAAGCTGCACACGGGAGACAAGCCTTACCAGTGTGAGACGTGTGGGAAGAAATTCATCTCCACAAAAGTCCTGCGGAATCACCAGAAGTCTCACTTAGGGCCTTTTCCCTGCGCTCACTGCGGGAAGAAAATCCAGTCAGCAGCAGGCTTGAAGGTGCACCAGCGGCTTCACACCGGGGAGAAGCCCTTTGTGTGTGCCAGGTGTGGGAAGGGGCACGCCAGCACCAACCTGCTGAACTACCACATCAATCGATGCCACTTGAAAGAGCAGCTCTACCAGTGCAGCTACTGTGAGAAGCGCTTCTGGCAGAAGTCGTCGCTGACCTCCCACCACAGAATCCACAGTGGGGAGAGGCCTCACAAGTGTGCCGAGTGCGGGAAGGGTTTCCGCCGCAGCAGCGTCCTGAAGAAGCACGCAAGGACTCACACGGGGGAGAAGCCCTTTTCCTGCACCGAGTGTGGGAGGAAGTTTACCACAAAGTGCACCCTGAAGAACCACCAGAAGATCCACACGAGGGAGAAGTCGTTTCAGTGCCGCTACTGTGGGAAGAAATACCGGTATAACATTTTGTGCCAGAGACACGAGGAGATGCACACGGGCCAGCGGCCGACATGCCTTCAGTGCGGGAAGGTGCTGCGCACCGAGAGGGAGCTCTTGATACACCAGCGAATCCACACAGGGGAGAAGCCCTTCCAGTGTCCCCGCTGTGAAAGGGGCTACCATCGGAAGAACGATTTGGTGAAGCACATGAAGAGCCCGTGCCCGGAATGAGCCGTAGGTAGATGCAGTGAGAAAACATGGGGGAAATGCTTTCAGAACACATAGGAAGAAAATATGCTGAAAAATCCTGTGGTCTGTTTGTGAGAAAGGAAACTCTGAAGGTGGAGGGTTTTTTAAAGCCTTTTAAAAATGTAATTTTTATTTTTCCAGGATATATAAAAAGATAAAGAGGAGACAGAGACATATACACAAATGTTTTCTATTATGTGCCGAAGACTCCTTTCAGCCTAATTTTTGAATAAATCATTAAATGTTGCCATCAAGTCATTTTGTACTCATATCAACCACATAGATAGATTTTCTATGTCAAAGCAATAATCCAGAACTGCATATCCATGATGTATTCATTTCCAATGCGGAGTAATTATCTTCATTGCTACCCGCACACCCTGCTCAATCGTTCTGATTCTTCAGATCTTTGGATATATTCAGAACACATCCACAACCTAAATCTACAATTATTTTGTAAAAGCAGGGTAAGAATTTTGTGAAACCGCACCATAATGGAGTTCTAGCACACTGCTCATCCTATAACAGCCTCCCGCTCCGGCCCTCATTTTTGCTTTCGAGCAGCCATTTGGTAGTTCCTGATCCCACCACCTTTCTTCCAGAGGGTGCCTCACCTGGGGTCCTCCTCTAGCCCTGCGATATGTGAGTTTTCATACCCTGCACTACCCTTCTAGTGAGTAAAAGGCCAAGTTACAAAAGTTGGCATTTCAATTGTGCCATTTCCTGGCCATCTAGCGTATGAGGATCTGGCGGGCAGACTCAGCTGTTCCCTCCCGCCTTGGGAGATAAACCCATTTCACAGTAAGATAAAAACTATTTAAAAAAAAAAGATGACATATTTAAGCACCTAGATTAAAATATAAAACTGACACATATTTTCTTTAAAGGAAAATCCCCAAAGAAAATATAAGCCTCCAGTTAGACACGGTCAGCTAAAATTAAAAAAAACTTGGAATAGAGAGCTTGGAGTGGGATTATCAGAGGACACAAAAAGTTATTCTAAAAATTAACATCATGCCCTATTGAAGTCTTTCTCTCAACCTCAGCAACTTTTAAGATGTGTGGACTTCAACTCCCAGGATTCCCCAGCCAGTGCATGCTGGCTAGGGGATTCTGGGAGTTGAAGTCCACACCTTAAAGTTGCTGCTCTATCAGAATAATGGGTCCAGATTGGAATTACATACAATTCATTGGTCCATATGGAGAAATTAAGAACGAGATCCTGAAGCTTGATATGGGCACACAAACAATTCCTCCTGCAAGTCCTAGCTAGAACATTACCTGGTTCTACTGGAGCGGAATCTTGATGCAGAAACCATGCATTACTACGTGGGCTTCCCTTTTTTCCTGGAAATTCCAAACTTTAAGATGAAACTGGTGGGGAACAATTTTACCCCATGCTTTCTTTGAGCCTTAGCCGACAGCTTCTGGAGTTCTGACTCATGCTTGAAAAGGACCAGGCCTTTTTCTTATTCCCAGGAGGGGACTCAGTATCTGTGGGGTCCTTGGGGTTCTCTGAGCTTGGTTGTTTCCTTGCAGACGTTTTGTTACCCCGCTTGGTAACATCGGTGCTAGAATGGGATGGGGTTTGCTCTCTGTTTATCTACAGTAGCTTGCCCTGTCAATGTTGGCTGGGGTGTTTCCCCCCCTCCCATAGTTCCTTGATTGGGGTATTGTTTCCTGCTTGATTGTTTGTCTGGTGTTAATCCTGGTGTTAACCCCTGCCTATCCGGGTGTTGATTGCTGGCGAGGAGCTGTTCTGGTCTTTCTGTTTCCTTTTTATTCTCTCTTTGGAATAGTGTATAGATATTGTTTATCTCTA